AGTGTTAATCAAACAATAGAAAACAATAGAATTAGCATACTTTAGCAGTATTTAGTGGTATTTATGTTGCACAGTTTTAGTGTTTGTACTCTATTAACAATTGGGCGTAAAATTGCAGGTTCAATTGAAAATATTATTTAAGCTTAATTAAGGTTAAAAAAAATTGATGTCTTTTGCAATTCTGTAGTGTTATTACTACAGTCAACGGCCAAGAAAATAGAATTTGAATCTTTTTTCTTTCCGCTAGGATAAAAAAATTGGGTATTCTTTAAGGATGAACGGCAGGTCGCTCTCATTCTCCACTTTCACAACCATTTTAGCCCTGGATTTCTTGTAATATATATTATCGATAACAACCTCTTCTTCCTTTAATCTTTCTATGYGACGCTTTATTTCGGCTCTTAAAGTTTTGAAATCCCACTTAAACGGTAAAGGGCACTTGAAACTCCTTGAAAATGTGAAAATTTCCAAAAAGTCCTTGAAAAGTCTTTGAAAAAGATAGATCTCAATCACGAAGCCGGCGCGATCTCTGAATTATTCCGTTCGGCTGAAGTTTATGTCGGATTTGCCAGTAAAAAATGCCAAATGGGTTCCCTGTCCCCAATGCTGTCCTTATTTGGTGGCAGTACTTTCTGGCGGGAACTAGTCAACACCTAAACGAGGCTTGCACACGCGTTTTCAAAAGCTTCTTCCTTGCACCTATCGATTATGCCAAAAGAGAGCAATTTGTTGGCGTATTCTAACAAAGTAAGGTGAGTTCCTGTTGTGGTTTCTTTTGATCAAGATAACTAAAGAAAAAAACTGATTTTCTATCGGATATATAAAGCTTTTTTTATATTAAAGAATTGAAAACGGTCACAGTTATCAGGTTGGAGAACCTAGCGTCATGAATAGCGGTAAGTTACTGATCAACTTTTAAAAAAATACAATGAAGTACGTTTCTTGTCATGATGTGAAAGGTGGTCGTATATAAAACATGTACGAACAAAATGCTTTTTAAATATTCAGTTTTGTTCCTTCTACGTGTGTTTTAATATTCCGAGCTTTCGGACAACTTGTCCATCATCAGGGCAAAATGAAATTACAATGCGTGCGCGAGGATACAAATGTAAACAAAACACTATGATAACATAACTGCTTAAGAGCGCGCAATAGTTCAAATCAATTAACATACTGCGCGTGCATAGAAATTACACGAAAATCATGGGATTACAATAGAAAGGATAGAATGTTAAGACTAGTTAATGTGTTAAGAGTTCTTTATAAGAATCAGGCAGAGTTCGTCCACTATTTTTATTAAAAAGGCAGTTTTTGTTCTTTGAAATCTTTATAGCTTCCAGCCAGCGTCTTTGTATCCATCTAGGTTCTTGGGCGAGGATTGAAGACTCTTGCCACGCGATATCATGTCCTGTGTGGTTAGCATGGTCTGCTAATGCTTTTTGTAAGCTTCTCATTGATTTTTGTTCTCTAAGCTATGTGTATCTTGTGTTAAGCTACATCCTGCATTGAGAAATTTATATAAATAGAATATTTTATCTTTTTGAGAATTTTTTTTGTTACAATAGGTTTGCTGGATTGTCCCAATGAAGTTATAATCGCTATTCTTCGAAAACTTACAGTTAAGTGTATGATTCAAAGCATGTTATGCACATGTAAAAGGATCTATTCCTTATGCCATACCGCTATTCTATGGAAGGAATTTACATTTAAAGAGACCGGTCATGTCTACTATACAGTGCTAAACTTT